AGCCAAAGATAGTTTGGAAAGATTCCAGTTTAATGTCGAAGCTGTCCCCGATAGATAATATTTGGAAAAAATCAAGCAAAAGACCAGAGAGGACTATCGTGAATATGCGTGCCACTGGAGGAAAGAAGCTGCAAAGGTACAACCTGTGATGACTGAAAGCGAAATAACCTCTGCTTTTATTCGAGCTCAGGAGCCCGAGTATTATGAAAGGATGTTGCCTATGCTGGGACAGAAGTTTTCGGAGCTGATCAGAATAGGAAAAGCCATAAAGGATGGCCTCAAGTCTGGAAAGGTTACAAGTCTCACTGCCTTGCAGGCCGCCAACAAATCCTCACCATCCATGGCCAAAGGATTCGCTAGGAAAAAGAAAGAGGCCGTGTCTGCTGTATCTTTTAGCCCGAGGCCAAGGCCACAAAGGTATTTTGGGTCTGGTTCTGCCATTGGAAACTCCAATCGATTCCCCACCTCAAATATTTACCCACCATCTCCACAAGCTCCAATCCCAATCTACTATGCACAAATAACAGAAGTACCAAGCACCACCGCCTATCTACCAAAATCAACCACCAACCTACCAAAATACACTACCAAATCACCAAGCCAATGCACCAGTCTACCAAAATCTCAGACAAAACAACCCAAATGCCAACAATCTACCCCGTCCTAACCTCGAAAGAAAGCCTCCCAGGGTTTTCACTCCCTTGGTAGAAACACGTACCCAACTCTTTGAGCGTCTAAGAGCGGCAGGATTAATCCAACCAGTAGACGCAAGGACAATTAATCCCACAACAAAGTTCTTCCGAGCGGATCAACGTTGTGCGTACCATTCTGGAGGGGCAGGACATGATACAAAATGATGTATCAATCTGAAACATAAGATTCAAGACTTGATCGATAACAGGGTCATCACTCTCCAAGCCCCTACCCCAATGTGAACCTTAGCCCATTGCTGAATCATGGAGGAGCTACCATCAACATGATTGAAAGAGACGAAGATTGGCTTGCTAATGGGACTATCAGTTAAGCAAATGTCAACTCACTTATACCAACAGTGGCCTCATTGACTATAAAGGCCCGTCCAAAGTTTGTTGTAATAACTGCACCTCATCAAGCATTCACTTTGACAAAGGAAAGTAGCAACGAGCAACCCAAAGAAAATTTTGTCGTGCAGGCGACTACCGCACAAGGGATGACACGTTCTAGAAGATGCTACATTCCAGAAGAACTAACTCAAGAGACACGAAGAAAAGAGAAACAAAAAAGGCCGATCACAGAGGGTGAGGTTGAAGAGTTTTGGCAAAGAATGCAGCCTAATGAGTATTCCATTGTCAAGCATTTGGAGAAGACTCCTGCTCAAATTTCTGTTTGGGCTCTTTTATTGAGTTCCGAGTACCATCGAAAAACACTATTGAAGGTACTTGATAAAGCGTATGTACCGACGGGAACAAGTGGTGAGAATCTAGCCACCATGGTAAGTCATGTCATTGGGAGTCATCAAATCTCTTTTCGAGAAGAGGAGTTGCCACTCGAAGGGGTGATGCACAACCGTGCCTTGTATATCACCGTCAAATGCAGGGACAAGTTTGTAGCTCGAGTGTTGATTGATAATGGCTCAGGGCTCAATATCTGCCCATTATCAACCTTGACTTAGCTAAATTATGATGAAGGGAAAATCTGTCAAAGCCACATGAACGTAAGGGAGTTCGATGGTTCGCAAAGAGAGACCATGAGGGAAGTAGACTTGTGTATCCAAATGGGGCCTACAAAAATTTTCACTGAATTCCAGGTGATGGGTATATCTACAAGCTATAACTTATTGCTAGGAAGACCATGGATCCATGCGGTCGAAGCAGTTCCATCCACATTGCATCAACTTTTGAAGTTCATCTGGGATGACCATGAAATTGTCATTCATGGTGAAGGGAGTGATCGTAGGTACCCTGGTTTCTCCATTCCAGTTATTGATGAGTCTTCTTAGGGTACTTACTTTCACATAGTGGAGATAATGAATGTTGTTTTTGAAGATACAACACTGCAAGTACCAATGCCGCAAGTTTATAAAATGCTAGCCACAACTATGCTGAGAAGTGGTTTTGAACCTGGGCGTGGGTTAGGTAAGAATTTGTATGGCATATCCGAACCTCTTCTTATACCACTTCAAAATTTCCTCTTCGGTGTCGGTTATACCCCAACAGAGGAAGAATTGTTTGAAGCAGAAACAATGAAGAAACATGACTGTGATATACCGAAGCCTATTCCAGTATTGTACCAGTCATTTGTTGCTAAAGCTTCAGAGCCTGAGATTGATGGTCTAGTGGAAGGGATGGGAAGATTGTGTTGTGATCTCGGCAGAATGCACCACAACACCCATCATCCGAGATGCCGGACCTGGAGAGATGCTACAGAATTGGATGGCCACTCCACTTATGATCCATCGAATGGCTTGGTATACAAAGACAAGATTTGATGTTTAACTTTTTTTTAAAAAATCGGTGTTATTTGAACGAGGCCCAAAACCACCATTTATGTCACTTTATTTTTCATCGTAATGTTTAAAAAGGAAATGACTCATGAGTCATGACCAAAGTTTGTATGCCTTTTTTAAAATTTCAATGAAAGTCTCGTTTATTTTAAATTGATTATCTTGTCATTGTGAATTATTCTCCAATAAATACATTTAAACTCTTTCTATCTAACATGGTTGATTTGTTGTTCTTTTCAGTAAAAATGAATCTAAACCTGCCAATGTCCTGACATGTCACGAACACGGAAAACCAAGTAAGATCGATGAAGATGAATGTGAAGAATATGATGAGGAAACTATGATGCCTGAACACTTACCGAGGACTTGAGGCAACTTGAAAAATGATGAAAAAGCCCAACCTGGATGAAACAGAGACAGTAAACTTGGGATATGATGAGTCGATCAGAGAAACCCGAGTCAGTGTCCATTTGGTAGCAACATAAAGAGAAGAATTGGTCAAGCTGCTCAGACAATACATCGATGTGTTTGCCTGGTCTTGTGATGATATGCCAGGGTTAAGCACTGATATTGTTTCCCATAAGCTGCATATCAATTCAGAGTACTGTCCAGTAAAGCAGAAAACCAGAAAGTTCAAGCTCGATCTGAGTTTAAGGATAAAAGAGGAGGTCATGAAGCAGATCGAATCAAAGTCGTTGAATTGACCAAGTATCCTACTTGGCTGGCCAACATTGTTCCAGTGGCGAAGAAAGATGGAAAAATCAGGATATGCGTGGATTATCGGGTTCTCAACAAAGCTAGTCCAAAAGATAATTTCCCCTTGCCGAATATCCACATACTCATCGATAATTGTGCTATGCATGAGCTGCAATCATTTGTGGATTGCTTTGCGGGATACCACCAGATTCTAATGGATGAAGAAGATGCAGAAAAAATAGCCTTCATCATGCCTTGAGGAGTCTACCATTATCGAGTGATGTCGTTCGGCCTAAAAAATGCTGGAGCCACTTACATGAGAGCTATGACCACCATTTTCCATGATATGATCGACAAAGAAATTGAGGTGTATGTGGACGATGTCATCATAAAATCCCGCGAGAGTTCGAATCATTTGGTACACTTGGAAAAGTTCTTTAATAGGTTAGGTAGGTATGATTTGAAGTTGAACCCATCTAAATGTGCATTTGGAGTACCTGCAGGGAAGTTACTCGGATTCATAGTTAGCAGAAGAGGTATCGAGCTTGATCCTTCCAAGATCAAGGCAATTCAAGACTTACCTCCTCCAAAGACTAAGAAAGAAGTAATGAGTTTTCTAGGAAGACTGAATTACATCAGTCAATTCATAGCTCAATCAACAGTGATATGTGAGCCCATATGCAAGTTACTACGAAAAGATGCGCCAACCAAATGGACCGAAAAACGTCAGAAGGCTTTTGACACCATAAAAAGTTACCTTTCGAATCCACCAGTGTTAGTGCCACCAGGCAGTCCTTTGCTATTGTATATATCCGTCTCCGACAATGTATTCGGGTGTGTGTTGGGACAACATGATGAGACCGGAAGAAAGGAGAGAGCTATATACTATTTGAGCAAGAAGTTCACATCCTATGAGGCCCGTTACACCCTTTTAGAGAGAACTTGTTGTGCTTTGACTTGGGTTGCTCAGAAATTGAGACATTATCTGTCGGCTTATACAACACATCTCATTTCGAGGATGGACCTGCTTAATTATATATTTCATAAAGCAATGCCCATAGGAAAGCTAGCAAAGTGGCAAATGTTGTTGAGTGAGTTCGATATTGTGTACATGACTCAGAAAGCAATCAAGGGGCAAGCTTTGGCCGATCACCTTGCTGAAAACCCAGTAGATGAAGGATATGAACCACTTAGAACATATTTCCTTGATGAAGAAGTATTGTTTGTAGGGGAAGACATATCAGAATCATATCCTGGGTGGAGAATGTTCTTTGATGGAGCAGTAAACTCTATAGGATCAGGAATTGGAGCAGTGTTGATATCCGAATCGGGGTAATATTATCCAGCAACAGCAAAGCTCAGATTCCGATGCACTAATAACATGGCTGAGTACGAAACATGTATTCTTGGCATTAGAATGGCTCTTGACATGAATGTTCAAGAATTACTAATAATTGGTGATTCAGAGGTGTTGATTCATCAAGTTCAAGGAGAATGGGCGGTGAAGAATCCTAAAATCTTACCTTACGTACAATTGGTACGGAGATTATGCAAAAGATTTAGGAAGATCGAGTTCAGACACACACCGAGAATACAGAACGAGCTTGCTGATGCCCTTGCAACCATATCATCCATGATATAACACCCAGAAAAAAGTTATATCTATCCACTTGAGATAGTTTTAAAAGAACAAATATCACATTGTTCACACGTGGAAGTAGAATGGGACGGGAATCCATGGTATATCGATGTGAAAAAGTACTTAGAAGCTGGCGAATATCCAAAAAAAGCAACAAGTATTGAGAAGAAAACAATCCGAAGAATGGCAATCAACATCTTTTTGAATGGAGAGGTTCTTTATAAGAGGACACCCGATTTGGGATTACTGAGATGTGTGGATGCTGCAGAAGCCACAAAATTGCTTGAAGAAGTGCACGCTGGAGTGTGTGGGATGCACATGAATGGGTTTACATTAGCAAAGAAAATCTCAATGGAGGGATATTTCTGGATGACTATGGAAAATGATTGTGGTCGATTTGTCCAAAAATGTCATAAATGCCAGGTACACGGAGATCTGATCAAAGTACCACCGCACGAGCTCAATGCGATGAGTTCTCCTTGGCCATTTGCAGCTTGGAGCATGGATGTTATTGGACCAATTTAGCCGGCTGCCTCAAATGGTCATAGGTTCATTTTGGTCGCCATTGATTATTTCACAAAGTGGGTCGAAGCTACTTCCTACAAAGCTGTGACGAAGAAAGTTGTGGACGATTTTGTCCGCAACAATTTGATATGTCGTTTTGGAGTTCCAGAGTCTATCATCACAGACAATGGAGCAAATCTGAATAGTCACTTGATGAAAGAGATATGTGAACAATTCAAAATTACCCACCGTAATTCAACTGCATATCGTCCTCAGATGAATGGAGCTGTGGAAGCTGCTAATAATAATATCAAGAGGATACTGAGAAAGATGATTGACAACTACAAATGTTGGTATGAAAATTTGCCTTACGCTTTGCTAGGTTACCGCACCACAATCCGAACCTCAACTGGAGCAACTCCTTATCTATTGGTATATGGAACAGAAGCAGTGATACCAGCTGAAGTTGAGATACCATCTTTAACGATTATTCAGGAAGCTGGATTGAGTGATGTCGAGTGGGTTTGTGATTGATATGAGAAGTTAACATTGATTGATGAGAAAATAATGAGTGCTATTTGTCATGGCCAGTCGTATCAACAGAGAATGACTCGCGCTTTCAACAAGAAAGTAAGAGTTCGAACATTTGAGGTAGGCCAATTGGTGTTGAAACGCATTTTCCCTCATCAAGAGGAATATAAAGGGAAATTTGCACCTAACTGGCAAGGACCGTATATTGTCCACAAAGTACTATCAAGAGGAGCCTTGGTTCTAGCGGAGATGGACGGTCAGGTGTGGCGCAAAGCCATCAATTCAGATGCCGTTAAGAGATACTATGTGTGAAACTTCAGTTTGTATTTTCTTGTCATTTCCTTATCAAGAGATACTACATTTGAAGGATGCTATTTCTTTCCTTTATTTCCTTGTAATTGCATTTTGTTTGTAATCATTATCGCATTATGTTTTGAAACATTCCCTTGTACTTGAACTACATTCGACTTGAATTCTCAAGAATGAGATATGTAGGCGGCCTATGTCGGTCTCGGTTGTTTCCTTATCAAATTTTCTATTTTTGTCACTTCTCGAGATGGGAACTACATTTGACATGATTCCCGCCTCAACGGGATACGTAGGCGCCACAAGGTCTCGGTTGTTTCCTTATCAAATTTTCTATTTTTGTCACTTCTCGAGATGGGAACTACGTTTGACCTGATTCCT